TGCCGCTCCAGCCTGGGCTCTTCCCCGCACCTCCTGCCGCTCCAGCCTGGGCTCTTCCCCCCCCCCCGCACCCCCCGCCCCCCCGCAGTGAAGACCTGCCCTTAGATACAGTACCAGGCACTTCTGAGCCATGGAAGCAGAAATTGACTTTTCCTTTCCAGATGTAGCTAATATTCAGAAAGGGAATCTAGCACCTGCCTTCCAGATTTGAACACCCTCAAAATTCAGGAGTGCTCAAGCTCAATTTGGGCAGCTGTTACTTCATTTCCCCCAAATCAAATATACTGATCCACTGTAACTTGCTGTAGAAAAAGTAGAATAAATTGAGCTAGAAATGCTTCCCAGTAGTTATTAGGACTGGAATTGTTATTTTCAACAGCCATTGCTTTTTTTTTAAGTTTTAGTTTTATTTGTTTAAAAGGAAGACTGCGATAGTGCATTCCCCATAGAAACAAAGAATGGAACAAAAGAATAATAAAGACACCTCAACTTTTCCTCATTTATGTAGGACACTCTTATAATATGCATCCAGATATCCTCCAGTCACACAAGCTGAAAATTGTTCCACTTTACTGCAGTTCTGTAATCATATGGGAACCAATCCTGTCTGTGTTCTGTGCACATCCAAAATTCCTGCTGAATGACCCGCCCTGGGAGCGAGTTACCAGTGACCCAGGGCTGGGGCAGCAGGAGGGTGCAGTTGGGGGAAGGGGGAGAGCCCAGGGCTGGGGTGGGGGGCAGCCAAAAATTTTTTTGCTTGGGGCAGCAAAAAACCTAGAGCCGGCACTGCTAAGGTGCCACAAGTACTCCTGTTCTTTCTTTGAGCTATTACAGTACAAAGTTTGGCTTTTATTAGATTTTTTTTTTAACCACAGAAGTATGAGCAAGGGAGTTATCCCCTATCTTTCCAATTGTGCTGTTCTGTTTTATGTCTCTTTCCCTCTAGAAGTCACTTCCTGAATTCCAAGAGTTTTTGGAAGTTTGGCCTTTATCTTTTCAGAGAGACTGCAGTACATGAGAATTCATGCACAGGACTACACATTATAATCTCCAACGAATAACTTGTAAAGATGATTTGGAATGCTAGTCTTGTTCCACTTTAAAAAAAAAAAATTCCAAGAAGAGAGGATAAAACTAGCCTTGCTAATATGACCTAGCAGTTCACAGAGTAGGATAGTAGAACCAGGAATAGAACCCAGGTCTCTTGACTTCTAGTTTAGTGCTCAATCTACTAGACTGCAGTATCTCTGAGTACTTCATCAAACTATGAACTGAAAGAGTTTAAAACCAAAAGGGACTATTAGATCATCTAGTCTGACCTCCTATCAGTGCTTAATTTGTGCCAGGGTTGAGCCCCAGCGCCTCTAGGCTTGGCAGTTCATAGCCCCAGCACATGTGGGCTTCTCCATTCTGAATGTAAAATAATTGCTTGAGCCCTGGCCCCTCTTTCATTACAAATTAAGCACTGTCTCCTATATATCAGCATCCATTAAATCATGATCAGATACCCCTACACTGAGCCCAACCTCTTAAGTTCAATTAAAGCATTTCAGTCCTCAGGAGACTGAACAGCTGTGTGAGACAGGCAGAGAACAAGGAGAGACCAAGGTGCCACCTGTGCCCAAAGCTCCTTCAATGATAGGGAGTTGGTGGTGTGAGAGATGCTTGGCTGGTCCCAGCAGGCAAACCACATCACAGGCTCAGAGGAAAGGCAAAAAAAATAAAAATAAAAGGTCCCTGCCCATCAATCTGGGGGAAATGTCTTTATGGCTCCAAATCTGGCAATTGGTTAGACCTTGAGCAATACAGATTAGCCAAGGAAAGAGGATTCTTTGTACCATGTCAGAGCAGTGGCCTACTTCATCTGGTGTCTGGTTGCCAGCTGTTGCCAGTCCCTGAGAGGAAGGGGGGTGGAGGAGGTCCATAATACATCTGGTCACTTGTGCAGCATGGGGAAATATTCCTTCCTGGGACCCCGCATGCAACCAGCTGAAGTCTTGATGCATGAGATTTGATTAGAGTCATTGTCATAATGTAGAGCTGCAACTATTATGAGAATGGCAAAGGCAATGCAGAGCTTCCTGTACTCTCCATGGCCCATGAAGGCTGAGAACAAACAGTAGGATTAATAGATTTACAGATTCCAAGGCCAGAAGAGACCCCCACCACCATCCAGCACATGGGGAGGGAGGGGCACAGTATTTATCCCAGAGGCTGGATTAAAGAAAATCCTTTAGAAAGACACCAAATCTCCTTTTAAAGACTCCAAGTGATGGAGATGGAGGACTCACCCCAGGTGAGCTGTTTCAATGTTGAATAATCCTCACTGGTAGGACACTGAATCTTATTTCAAGGTTGAACCTGTCTAAATTTAACTTCTAGCCATTGGATCTTGTTGTTCCTTTGTCAGCAAGGTTGAAAGCTACCCTGCTATCAGATCTCTTCTCCGTGTGTAAATATGTATACATAGTGATTGAGTCACCTCTCAACCTTCTTTTTGATAAACTTTTAGATTGAGCTCCTTAAGCCTCACATTTTAAGATATGTTTTCTAGCCCCTGGAAAATGTTTGGGGTCCTCCCTTGAACTCTTTCTAATATTTCCACATCCTTCTTGATGAGCAGACTTCAGAAGCGGATGCTGTACTTGAGCATCAGTCTTACCAATGCTGTGTACAGAAGCGAGACCACTTTCAACTTGATATACCACTTTTTATATTTAGCCATTTTTGCCACAGCATTGCACTGCGAGCTCATGCTGAGGTGATTATCTACAATGACCACCCTAAGTCCTTCTGAGACGCTTGTTTTCCAAGAGTCTTTCGTCCTATAGGCATAGTTTTCATTCTGTGTTCCCAGCTGTATTACCTTGCATTTGGTTGTATTAAAAAGCATTTTTTGTTGGATTGTGACCATTTAACCAGGCAGTTCAGATTACTTTTCAACAGTAACCTGTCCTCTTATTATTTACTTCCCCACCAATCTTTAACTGTAAACTTTACCCACAAATATTTTTGTCATCATCTGACCTACCTTCCATGACACCATGCCAACAGTCATTAATTTTAATTTTAGCCTCCAAGTCTTTGTTGATGGTCTCAAATTAACCATTACATTATTGTACCTGGGACTGATGTGTTGAAACTGTGTTGGCAATCCTCCAATCCTTTGGAATTTGGTTTTTCAAGACTTGTTACACATTAATATTAGTGGTTAAGAGCTCTGCTAAATCCTTTAAACTCTTGGGTGTAAGTTATCCAGGCCTGTTGATTTGAAAATGTTTAATTTTAGCAGGTGCTGCTTCACAGCTTCCTTTGTTCCTTTCTATTCCATCCACAGCATCATATAGGATGGATATAGCCTTCTGCTTTGTTCCAAATGCAGAACAGAAATATTTATTAAACATTTCTGCCTTTTCTACATTATTATTTACAGTTATACCATCTGTATCTAGCAGTGGACCTATACCTGATCTAAAGTTTGGGTTTATTTCCCTAATGTTTAAAACATGCTCCTTTATTATCTTAAACCTATTGGCCACCAATATTTCACTTATTCTTTTAGCTTCCCTTATCAGTTGCCTATATTTTTTCACTTATTCATTGCTGTTTAATTCCCCTCTTTATATATAAATTCTTCATTTTATTGCCATTTCCACATCTTTTAACTAGGATAACTTTTTGCCCAGTATACCTTTTTTTGGTATGTCTGTGGAATTGTGGGGGTTTTGGACATTCATTAATTTTTGTTAAAACTTCCCACTTTTTAAATTTATGTTCTCGGTCAGTTATGCTGACAATTGCTTTAAGTTTTGGAAAAATGGCCCTATTACTGACTGATGCAATATTCTCTTTGCACAAAATAAATGTAACCAGATCATGATCACTGGTACCTAGGCAACTAATTTTTAATTTTTTAAATGTATACGTTTTCTCCCTCATATTTTTAAGTGAGGGTTTTATTTTAACGTTAGTAATAAAGTATAGTTCCTATCCTGGGACTAAGTCAGATTCTGCTCATGAAACCCTTTGAAATCAGTGGGTATTACTGGTGAAAATGAATGCTGAATTTGGCTCTACACATGGGCATAGGTTGTTTGGTGGCTTGGTTAACTGCTTGTCAGACTGATTTGATGACTTGCTAATTTACTTATTTTTTAAAAAATTAGGAATGAATGAATTCAGGTAGCTACACTTGTGCATTATGTGCATATCTCTTAGAGAAACTAATAAGAGACTGGAGATCCACTGGCACAACCTATGCCTATGTATGGTGTTAGCATTTTTTAAGTTGTCATCCTTTTTATTTTTATTTTTTTCCTGATAGGCCCCAACGGATGAATTCCCTTTATTTCTCCCCACTTTTCAAGTGTGTTATCCAGGTACAGAATGTTTTAAATTGGGGCTTAGGAGCCGTCATCCTTTAGCTTCATGGTAGGTCATCATTATTAGCCCTTGTTGCAGTCAGCCCATCCCCATCACATGCCAGGTAATGGCTGCTAACAGCGTACTTCGCAAATATCTAAGAGCAGAGAAGCAGCCACCTGATACATATGATATAATCACACCTGCTACTGCTATTATTAGCTTTAAGGGAGTGCTGTGTCACAGCCATTTGTCTTTTTCCAGACTTCAGTAGTGCTGCGAACACAAGACCGGATTTTTCAGCAACCTTTGAACAAATTAGAGCTATTTGTGCTGAACACTCATGAAAATCTAGCTCCATATGGTGCACAGGTACATCCTTATTAGCAAGGGAATGATAATTCCTTGGTTTGTTCATGTGCCCAGTTATCTGCTGCCACTGTGCCAGCTGGCTAGCTGCGTGAGCTCACTATGCACATGGAACATGATAGTCCAGTAATAACTTAATTTATCTGTCTGAGGCATGCAAGTGAAAGAGAAGATGAGGCATGGTGTCCTTCTTAAACAGTAGATGTCTTTTAATCTTCCAAACTTTCATTGCTTTTCATTGCTAACAAGATTATTTCATTCTTCCTTAGGAGTGACCGGAAAGTGAAAAAACAAGATGCTCCAACACCTTGTGAACGTCATTGCTGTAAGGAGGGGCCGATTAGAAATGGCCATGTTGGGCAGCGGCCACCATCCATCAACCCCGAGAGACTGAAAGATTTTGGGGAGGAGGACTACCTGAATGGGGACGTGAAGACTTGGGAAATGAAGATAGTGAGCCGTAATGAGGAATTGCTCAGAGATGCCCTTGACCCAGTCACTCAGCCAAACAGTAGAAGCAGCCAGCCAACCTATAACAAGCTGATTCGATTTGAAGATATTAGTGCTGCAGCTTTCAAAATCCAGAGTGGTGTCCAGAAAACCCCCTGCATGGTATGGTATTTACAATGTTTTGTTCTCTGAATCTCTCTCATCTTATGGGAGTTAGTCAGAAATGACCAGGGAACGTGCATTAATAGCAGATGCGTCTCTATAGGATGATAATCCTTCCAACAATGTTAAAATTTTTCTTCCGTTTTTTCACTATCCTAAATTCTCAATTGCTTACAGTGACCTGTAGAATGAAGAATACTATTGCATTATGCACCCAGTTAAAAACACTTGCCACAAGTACTGTATCTTCTTGCTTATGTAGCAGTAAACTGTGTATTGTTGTGTCCCTTTCAACAATGTTATACTGAAGGCTTTGGCAGCACTTCCAGCATATAAACCCTTCACTTCATAACAGGCAGACATTTTTCAGCAGGGCCTCAGATTTAAATTTGGTGGCAGATGACTGTGTAATCCACTTAAAAAATAAAATTATTAAGAACCAATATCCCAATGGAAATTATGTAAAACTTTGCTGCATCTTTTATAAAGCACTTATCTGACCCATTATATTGCTGGAGCAAAAGTCAGTGTTCTGGGGTTGAGGTGATGGCTCCAGTGTAATAACCCAGCATGCACTATGTTGGAGACAATGATCTAAATGGGGTCTGAACATCATGGGATCTGTAAAACAAAAGTGACTTAAACATCCAGAGTTAAATTCTGTATGTAGCATGCAGTGAGCAGGGGAAGTATGGAGCGCAAGATGCATATGCCTTTTCCATAGGGTTGTGTATATTGGGTCTTTAGGAGCCCAAATATCTTGTTATCTAGGTAAACTTGAATAAGCATGCATAGCTCAGGTTTGCTAGCTATCTGTTTTTCATGTGTTTTCTGTCTTGGTTGGATTTTTTCCTCAGACATTTAAGCCACAATGAAGTAAGAATGAGGTCTTTCATCACTATGTCCAAAGAATAAAATAACAGGAGAGAACACAATTCAGCCCCTTATTTTTCTCCCTAACCATTCCACACTGCCTCAAGGGGGAGAGAAAGATAGTAGGAAAAATAGATTTATTTTTTTTAAAACAGAGAAATTTTTTAAGCCACCATCTTTCTCTGAGTCTCCCATTGTGTCCTGTCTTGTCAGTCTGTTTTAGACACAGCAGTGGCCTGATGCCCATAGCTAAGGTTTCCTATCACTTTATATGCAAGCGGGCAGTGGAGTTAGGGTGACCAGATGGCAAGAGTAAAAAATCAGGATGGGGATGGGGGGTAATAGGTGCCTATATAAGAAAAAGCCCCCAAAATTGGGACTGTCCCTATAATATCGGGACATCTGGTCACCCTAAGTGGAGTAGGCTCACGGCCATCCTTAGGCATACGCAGCTGCGTAGGGCACCCCTGGGTCCTAGTTAGGGTGACCAGATCACCCAGGTCAAATATTGGGACGTGGGGGTGAAGGGGCGGGGAAAAAAAAAAAGCGGTGGCAGAGCAAAAAAACACACTCCCCCTTCCCCTCCCTCCGCAAGCGCTGGAGGGAGGCCCCGGAGACTCAGGGGGAGTGTGGGGCTGGGGTGAGTGAGAGTCCGGCCTGGCCCCGAGTGCACGCAGGACTCAGTCGGCCGGTATCTGGAGGGAGAGTAGGGGGGTGGCCCGCGGGGCCAGGCGGCGGCTGTTCTCCCCACCTGGGCAGCGGGACTCGGGAGCAGCCGCTGCTGCAGCTCCCATTGCCATGGGGGGAGGAAGCGGCCGTTGGCCAAGCTTGGCGGCTGCGGCTCTGGCGCCCACGAACCCCCCGAGCCTGGGCCTGTTGCAGGGACCCAGCTGCGCGCACGCTACGCACCCCCAGCCCCTAGCCAGTCGCATCTGGGCTGGCTGCCCAGCTGGTGCAATCCCGCGGGTGGGCCCAGAATGGGGGCAGCAGGCCCCAGCCGCCCCCGTCCCGCTCGGGTCCTGCAGGGGAACAAACGGGGCTGGGCTGCCGATGCCTCCGCCCCGCGGCCGCCGCGGGATTGCACCAGCTGGGCAGCCAGCCCAGACGTGACTGGTCAGGGGCTGGGTGCAGTGTGTGTGCTGCTGGGTCCCCGCAACAGGCCCGGGTTCGGACCCGGGCGTCAGAGCCGCAGCTGCTGAGCACCATGGCCGCTTCCTCCGGCCGCACCAGTGGGAGCTGCAGCAGCGGTTGCTCCCGAGTCCTGCTGCCCAGGCTGGGAGAACAGCCGCCGCCTGGCCCCGCGGGCCACCCTCCTACTCTCCCTCCAGGTACCGCCCGACTGAGTCCTGCGTGCACTCGGAGCCAGGCCGGACTCTCACTCACCCCAGCCCCGCGCTCCCCCTGCGTCTCCGGGGCCTCCTTCCAGAGCTTGTGGAAGGAGGAGGAATGGCGTGCTTGGGGAAGAGGCGGGGATTTGGGGAGGGAGCCTTCTGGGCTCCGGAGCCTTTGCTTGTTTGTCCAGTCTCCCGACCTAACCAACTTGAGTTGGTATTTATTTGTCAGATTTAAAACTGCATTAAGGAAAGAAAACCAGAACTGAGTGAACTTTTTTTGTGTGCTGGATATGTAACATGTAAATAATTTACCATTTCCTCTCTGATTTTGGCTATCTATAAAAATTTCTGTGGTTTTTAACATTTATTTTGCTTAATATAACCTCTCCAAAATACATCTTAAGTCACAGGAATCCACAGAATACACATGCCTTAAAAGTTCTGGCAAGCTACAGGTTTTATGTAAGCACCATTCTTTATAAAGTCCAGACATGAGCATATCTGATGGGGGTTAGGAGAGAAAAAAGAACGAAAAAGACACCAGTGACTAATAAAGTAAAACTGTAGAAGAATATATTAAATGGCAAGTTCTATTTAAATGTGGAGAGCAGAAATGCTGCACTGACTCCTTGTACACTGATAGCCTGGGCCCTCACTTCCATGCACCTCACACAATCACTTACTTCTGTGTAAAATGCTACTGCTCAGACTTAGGGAGACCATAAGTTCCATTTTGGCTGGGACAGTCCCTTTTTGATCAGTTGGCAACAGCAAATGGGACAAATGCCCACTTCTGTCAAAGTGAGGTGTGGAGGAACATGTGTGTGTGGGGAGGAGGTGGGGAGCGGCAATGCTAGCCCCTTGCAGGGTGGGGAAGCAGGGCTTGGGCCGGGGGTAGGCAGGGCTCTGGCAAGCAGCGACGCTGACCCCTTGCGGGGGCAGGGGCAGGGCTCAGGTTGGGGGTAGGCAGGAGCTGGGCAAGCAGCGACACAAGCCCTGTGCCGGACGAGCAGCTCTGGCCAGCCCTTCACGGGGATAGGGCTCAGGTGAGTGGCTCAGGCTAGCCCCACGCGATATCCCATTTTCCCTTACAGAAATATGGTCACCCTACTCAGACTCCAAAAGGGTGTGAAGCCGTGAGGAACCAGACAGATTCAGCAAAAGTGACTGTGGTGCAAGCTTCACTATGCTATCAAGAAACTGCCGTCACCTAGTGAGATCATCTGTAAATTGGAGTCTTCCCTCATCCTTTGCCTCTCCACAGACACTGCCAGTGTGATAGTGTTCCACGTGATGTGGATACCTGTGCACAAGGAAGTGTACTAGTGCATGAACTTGGGAGCAGGGGTAGTGGTCTCATTACAACTCATCTGCCAGCTTCCAGGTGGCAGTGACTTCATCATTGCTAGCATTGGATAGACTGGAGCCAGCAACACAAAGGTGAAAGGTTGTGCATTTCATTACCAATCCAAAGGGCCATCTAATTGCCTGCAATGTGTTTTAAACATGTTTTCTGGGCCAAATTGAAAAAGGCAAACCCATCATGTTATACACCAATGAATGTCTTCTCCAAAGTACCACTTGTGAAGAGGTCATTAGAACTATACTTTCTACCTCAGGCCCTGAGGGAAATCATTGAGGCTTTTTAAGCATAATATGATATGAATGATAGAATATAACATGCTTCAGCATCTCTCCAGTCAATTGCAACATCTTCCATAAAGCTACCAACTTTGAAAGTGGGTGTGCATGCAAATGTAAAGGATGTAGCAATAAGTTTGTGTGATTGTTTTGGTTCTTGATGTGCATGCTGTTGTGTTACAGTAGCAACTGGAGGCCCTAGCTGAGAACAGGGCCCCATTGCACATAGGGTTGCCAATTCTGACTGGACATATTCCTGGAGGTTTCATCAAATGACGTAATCTTTAATTAAAGATTAATCTTTTGTCCTGGAGTCTCCAGGACTTAACCAGGAGGGTTGGCAAACCTAGACTTACAGCAGGTTGGGGCAGATCTGGGAATAGACAGCTATTGTTACTATGAGGAGTATAATAGTTACAGTATACATAGGCCTTGTGGAAGAATGTAAGGAGAAATTTGAAGAGGGTGGCCTGCTAGTTAAAATGTCCCTAACACATAGTGTAGATGTAGCCTGAGTTAGTTAAGCACCTGAAAATAGCTTAACTGAATTAACTTCTAAGAAAATATATGTCTATTTCTGCTTTCTATAAAATGCATTGCACTTTAAAAGTCCAACAATCCATAAAATATCTTTCCAAAACTGTTCAGTTGTCATAATTAATATGGTATGACATATTGCAATATATACATATAGAGAGATTTAATATATATCGTCCAACTGTATATTTAAAATAACACAACCTCTCTTCATTCACTGTCCTAAATTAGGGCCTGATCCTGCAAACCATAGTCCTTACGCCCATCTTAAGTTGGTGGAAATCAAGTCCCTGTTTCATAAAGTTGTATGCTGTTTATATAACAGTCACATTGGTACCAGATGACTGAATTTTGGTGGCAAGTGAAATGGTTTTGTTCATGTAGTGATGTATATAATAAAGTAATATTAAAAAACGGCAAACTTGCATGTGGTATCCGTATCCATGTGAGAAATGATGCATGTGTGGTATTAAGGTAAGGTGGCTCCATACAAGGAAGGAAGTCAAAAATAAAACTTATAACCTTCTTTTAAGTATTACTCTAAAAATATCTGAATTATCTTTTGCTGTAAAATATGTGACATATACAGATACATAATGGTGCGGTGTAAATGTTTTATGGACAGTTGTTTGGCATGATCTACATAACTCCCAAGAATCTTGGAAATTACACCAGACCATCATGTATTCTTTCTTAATGGAAATATGTAATACTTATATTTTGCTGGAACTGACTAATGATTGTGCTGTGGTAAAACAAGTGAAAGACTGTCTTGGAATGTAGGCATGTAAAATACCGCAGCAACATAATAATCGTTTTCCTGTGCTTTAGTATTCTAGACTTTCAAAGCAATATGGAATGGATATCTATCTAAAGAAAGAGTTCCTTCAGTACACAGGATCTGTAAAGGAGCGAGGTGTGCTTTACCTGCTAACATCTCTACAGCAGGTACGACAAATTATCCAAGCCTATAAAGAACAACAAAAAATTAAACATGCTTAATCTATGTGCAACTTCGTGCTGCAAAATTAAAGGTGATCCTATTATCTGTAAACCTTCCCTGGCTTGCTGTGTTTTCTCATTTAAGTATTCAGATACTGCTGGGCTGAGCAGCCTAGACATGCCTGTGAATAAATTAATTAAAACATAGTACTTATATCTTTGACAAATCAACAGGATTTTTTAAATGACATCTTATGGGAATAATTGAAGGAAAAGTTGGTAGCATGTAGATTTTAGAGCTTATTCATGGTGTTTGAATGAGTTGATCCTGATGCATATTATATATTACTAGACTGACAAAAAAATGTTGAAATCCCAAATGGCGTGTGGATTCTGAGAGAAGAACCTCGATTAGTGAATGGTCTGGGGGAGAATTCCAGCAGTTTGAATACAGGTTTTATCCCCCTTGTTGTATAAGATGTGTTACCTATCTGTAGAAGAAATAATATTTAGCTTAGATAGGGCACTTTAGAAGTATTGATTTTTACAGCCACTCTGCATCATTATGTTATAGAGGGGGGAAAGTGAGGCAGAAAGGTCAAGTGATTTTCTCCAGGGCAGAGATGGGGACCTGATCTTGTGTCTATTAAAATCACTCTGAGTTTGGCTGTGATTTCAAAGGGAGAAGGATTGGGCCAGGGAATATTAGAGCTGGGATTCAAACTCAAAAGTTTGTGGTTCCTAGTCCTGTGTTTTAAGATCACACGACACTGTATATCTGTGCCATACCTTGATAATGTAACACTGGGGAAGAAGACTTAAAAAAGGCTAGCACAAAACAGTTGAAATCATCCACCATTAATCTTTGCATGCTTATATGACTAAGCTGCCATTTTCTGTGATACTGTGTGATCTAGAAGCAAATTTGTTTTGCAGGAGCAGCAGAAAAAGGGTGTGATAGTGGCTTCTGACAGTAACTTTTCCATGGCAGTAGCATACCATGCCTCAGAACTCCGCATTCCAGTATTTGTCATCATGTCTACCAGCACTTCGCCAGCCAGAGTGAAAATGTGCCGTGAGTATGGTGCCATGGTGATCTCCTATGGCACTACAGCCAAGGATTCCCAGATCCATGCAAGGAGGCTGGCCCAAGAGAATGGCTATCTATACCTCGAAGAGTAAGTAAGTTTTATCAGATAATTGTTCAGAATCTTCAGCTCTGCAAAACCCATTTGGTGTGGTATTTTATTACAACCGCAAATCTTGACCCTTGCTCACCAAAAGTTTCACTGAGTTTCCTATGAGCCTGGGACAGACTTCCTGAGAGTCTGGACTGACATTTTTCATTTTTCTGATGAGCCCATGATCACTGGCACTCTTGCATGGTTTCCTCTCCAAATGAGGCAAATTTGGTGGCTTTGGTTGGAATTTGCATTGAGCTTTTGTATTGGTTAAGAGCGGGGCAGGCTCTAGGCACCAGCGAAGCAAGCAGGTGCTTGGGGAGGCAAATTTGCAGGGGCACAAGTATCCCGCATGAGAGCTGAGAACCAACAGGGAGCCCTGGGAGCTGTAGTTCCTTGGTTAGCTCCCTGCCTATAGAGCCAGCCCTGGAGCAGGGAAAGAACTACATTTCCCAGCATTCCCTCGGCCGCAATTAACAGGAAAGGGAGGGGGAAGGAGCGTAGAACTGAAACTTCATGCTGTAGCTTGCTGTAAATGGTAGGAACAGAGCCAGCTCTAGGTTTTTTGCTGCCCCCCCACCTCAGCCCTGGGCTACCCCTTAACCCCTGTGTTGCCCCAGCCCTGGACTCTCCCCCGCCCACACCCCCTGCTGCCCCAGCTCTGGCCCCCACCTGCACCCCCAGCCCTAGGTCCCCCCACCTGCATCTCCTGCCACCC